GTTACCGCATGCGAACAAGGGATAGATAAGAGTTGAAACTCGCAGCAACTGCAACTCTTCTTGCATAGATCCACACGGAAAGTGAACCCTGCTTTGTCTATCACTTCGAACTCACTATCGTTGATGTGCTTTACCACATACCCGGTCCCTTTCTCGAAGTTAGAAGCCACGATTGCCTGAACTCTTTTCGTTAGGACACCCGAGTCGTTTGTAGCCTTCTCCCGCCGTCCATTAAACCAACCCATCAGGGTGGTGCGAATGTGTTCCAATAGAGCCAGAATTGGAAAGCCCCGAGTTTCAGCCATTGTAGCGTTTAATGACTCAGCTATGTTGCTGGTCATGACCTCACTCCACTAAAATGTGCACGGGTCCATTGCTCAAATCCTATGGCGGCGAGGTATTCTGCACAAGAACGATCGATTTCCACTATCTCGTTAAAGTGTGTGTTAAAATCCGAGATGTGATATGCTCTGGCTGCCTTGGATATCAGATATGCTAGTTGCCGTTTTTTGAAGATGGCTCGGACGTTCCTTTGCAAGTGAACAACGCAGATCCCATGCCTAGCTTGCGGATACACCTATAGGTAAACAATATTTATTACTATAGAGGTCTAACTTAACAAGTTACACACAACTTAAAATTTCCCCATAATCATCGATTGTAGTTCATACCTTGCTTAAGGCAGCGTATATTGAGTTGTGCCGGTCGGAGACAAAGACCACGTCGTTTGCGTCGGGAATTACATTCAGCAGATTTTGAAAAAACCAGGTCGAGGATTTGTCATTTTTCCCATCCACAATGGCGAATGCCACCGGAAAGATATGAAAATTTCCATCATGCGCGCTCGCAGTTAGCATACAGCCTGCCTAATTACACTTGAGATGCGTCCCGTCCACTACAACCACCTTTCGCATATACCTCCATCCTTGCACACCAGCTCCAAATGCGACGAAAAGGTATTTGAAACGCTGCCCCTGGCCTTCTTGTATGTCGGTCTCTAGATTAACAATCGTTCCAGGATTTGTTATCACCAGTTGTTGGAGATAAGACGGTAACAACTTGTACGACCCGCCGTTATTCCCCTTCGCATAATCCATTGCCACATGTCGGGATCGCCAAGCCTAAATTTAAATAATCAATGTCTATCTTCATGATTACCATCTAATAAATTAAATAGACAATTCAACATATCTTGCCTTCCAGTATGAGATAGGTACATCGTGGTCAGCTCTCATCATCTCCCGCACCTCATTTGGTTTTGGTCCCGCCCCGCGTCCTGCGTACCTTGCTCGCAGCATGTCTCCTATTACCGTTGATGTTGCATGTCTTTGGAAATTCCCTCTCTCGTCAACCGTGCATAAATGATCAGGTTTCACCCTCCTCACTTGGTACCACTCCGACCCACTCATCTTCACCGCATAAACCCTCCATGTACAGTTTTTGCCAACACACTCTAACACCATAACAGTTGGTGTAGACTTCTTGTGGGTGAACCAAAACTTGTGGTGCAATGCGTACATAGCCATGTGGAGCTTGAAGGCTTCCCTGTTTTTAAACATCATACCCACGTACACCTCCTCGGTCCTGCTTAAACCGTCCCCTGCTTGTTAACAAAATTCGTTAGCATACGATTTACATATTCAACATTCGATTACGATGTTATTATTATAAATACCCGGTATCAAATTTCTTACCGACAAAAACATCGCCTATCATATCTTTCTCGTCGGTGTCTTCAGCTATGGGGTCATTGTTCTCCGATCCTGATAGACAGGCTAACGTCAAAGCCAGATGAGACCCACTCTCTGAGTTGTTCTCTTTTGCCTTCCCTTTCCCTTTATCTTCACTAAACGTCAGAGTGTGTGGCGTCACGTCACCAACTTCTCCTCTTCCAACAACTGCATTGCATGAGTCACCGGTAAATATTATAGCTTTAACTAAATTTCCTAGCCTGCATACTCTCTTAACCGTACCTTTCACTGGTGTCATTAAGGCTAGATTGGCCAGTGCATTGTCAAAGCTCACTGGACCCATGTTGGTGTCCTCTTCATCAGTAAGCCTTATGATTTCTTCGTGTTGTCCATCTCCATTGCCGGGATTGTTGCTGGATCCCGCAGATGACTGGTTGTCACTCAGCTGGACAACTTGGTTCGTTGTGGATTGCTGATGGGCAGCCATGTGCTGGGCTTCCAGTTCCGTCGACTTCTTTAGTAAGAGTTCTAGCTCATCTGACGTGCATACATCTTCCAACACACTCTGGCTGCACCGAATCACATCTTGTGAAAAGAACCCTACATACACAATTTTAAGTTACCTATTTTGTTATATACTATGAAAAAATCGTTATTAGCATTTACCAGTGAATCTTACCACGGTAGTCGAAACTCCCGAACTGGATTGGCAACGGTTGCACAGATACCGGATTAGATGGTCCTCCAACGTCGTACGTAGCACGTTTCTGAAACTTGTAACGGTTAACGACATCATTTCCTACCGTCACACACATCGGTAGCTCGGGAACCTCCATACGAACAGCCATGAAAACCTCCACGTCTGCGTTGTTCAGCACATCTATCGGCGGAGTTGGAGGTCCGGTGGGTACCAACATCCAGTCAGGGAATTGGTAGCTCAATGCAACCTCTGTGGCGGCGTCAACATTGCATCACACTCTAATACTGTTCATAAGCCCGTCGAAGCTCGCGTTCTCAGAGACCATCATGCAGAAGCTTTCACCTTCGCTGTCGACCTTAAAACTCCAAGCACCGACTTCCGATCTTTCCCACGACCCACAGACAAGCATAACCAAACTTCCAACCATCTAGCAAATAAACCAAAAACAAATTTTCCATCTACTCATCAATTTATAACTTCTCGGTAACTTTACAGCGAAATCAACATTTATGGAAGTATTTAATGTTGTAAAACGACATATTTCAGACTCTATTGCTCCGGGAGTGGTACTTACTAGGTTACAAAAGGAATATATTGAAGACATCTGAGTTTATTGTCGGCTTACCTTTAACGGAAGAAACGGTAGTATCTTTCTTGACTTATTCAACTAGAAGACAACTTTAACTTGAGGATATCTTTGTGTTCTTTTTCTGAGGTGGCTGATAAAATGGGAATTGGGGACGATACCTATTTATATAGAGGGTAAAAAACCCTAATAACATACACATACATACATACATCCCATGACATGCCACATACACATACGAAATCTCTTAGATTTGGCATTAAATGCGTAGCTTCGGGAGAGAAGATTTTCTGTGGACACCAGTAACCTATTCGCAGACCTATGAACCGCTATAGACGTCTAAGTTTGTAGATAATATCTGCACAATATCTTTATTAAATAATTATTTTATTACTGCCTAAATTACAAAGATTGTCGCCAAGGGTTTTTCGGTCATAAACCACCATTTCGAAATCCAAATTCTCCCTTGCTTTACTGTTTTTCCTATGGACCAAATTTTGACCAAAATGACGAATTTCTAGCAAATATACCCTTTTTCCAAATCTCTTCCCAAGATCACTTTCATTGTTTTCGAAAAATGCAATATTTTCTCAAATCATCAAAGAATTTTGTGTTTATCTAGGATTCTTCATGCCGCCTGCAATCTTTTGAAAGTTATAAGTTAAGTTAAAACGCAGTGTAGATTTATAAGAAAAAAATTATATAACGTCTAATAATTATATTACAGAGAGTTAAAGGAAGGACAAACCTTGAGAGTTTGCCATAGCCACTCCCTGAACTTACCTTTCCATCCAATCTAAGGTTCTGCCATCCCAGCCATCTCCGTCATGGAGACGTCGGCCCATCCTTAGAGGATACCCCTCCCCAAACGCCAAACCCCTCAAGCATTAACCAGAATTCAATGAGTTCAAATCTTTCAGATTCATCTGTTCCTACTTTATCCTCCCTTGTCTTGGTGGAAGTGATCAACGGAGTTGCCCAAGCCTCGATCCCAAAGGAAGTTCTTGACAATGCCCAATTTGTTTTGACTAACTACATAATTGGACACTTTATTGGTGATGCTCTCCACATCGGAAAAGTACACGCTACTGCTAACCGGCTAAGGAGTACGCAGGGGAAACCTACAAAGTCGATGCCCAATTTCCTAATCCTAAATCGGTTTTGTTTCGAATTGATGATGCTCAAGCCAGGTCATGTGTCCTCTGGAGGCATTTATGGCATATTGCTGATATTCCTCTCGTGGTCCAAGAGTGGAATCCAAGGAACTCAGATCTTCGACCGGATCTCACCTCAATGCCAATTTGGGTAAACTTCTCGAGAGTTCCAGATCAGGTTCTACTAGCTCCTACCTCTTAAAACATTGTTGCTGCCTCTGAAGCTTCTCGCACTTGAACCATTATGCGGCGGTTGTGGAGCAGTTTTTTGGGCAGAATTTTCATATCACTTGGTTAAAATATGTTGACAGAAACACCACATTCTATCATTGTACAGTGCAAACTCGGAATTCCAAGAACATCATTAAGTGAATGATGAATGATGCAAGAGACTTAATAACAGACCCTACCGCAATCAAGACTGAAGCGGTAAATTATTTCATTCAGTTCCTACAAGCTCAACATAAACACTACCCGACCCTCGTCAGAGAGGACCTGTCTGATCTCATCTCCTTTAGATGCTCCCACACCAGAGTGACTCACTGGTCGCAAACATTACTGCAGAGGAATTAAAGTAAGCACTTCTCTCTATGCCTCCCAACAAAACCCCTGGACCTGACGGTTTTACATCAAAATTCTTTCTGACAACCTGGTCTATTCTAGGATCTGATACGGTCACTGCAGTTCAGTCCTTCTTTCAATACGGTCTTATGTCCTGCGGAGTCAACACTACTTCTCTGACACTAATCCCAAAGAAAACAGACGCAATGGGAATACAAAACTTCCGTCCGATTGCTTGCTGTAATATGCTATAAAAGGTCATCTCCAAAATCTTCGCAAATCATTTCAAAACAGTGCTCTCGGAGAGCATGGTATCGAATCAGAGTGCGTACATTAAGGGACATCTCCTGCTGGAAAATATACTCATGGCCACAGAGCTTATTAAAGACTACCATAAGGACACAATTGACCGCCGCTGTGCATTCAATATTGACATATCCAAGGCATTCAATTCCGTACGCTGGGAATTCATTACTCTCACTCTCGAAGCTATGGGGTTCCCATCGCTCTTTATCTGTTGGATCTATCATTGTATTTCCACTGCAAATTTCTCTTTAGTGTTGAATGGAGTGCTTGGTGGTTTCTTTAACAGTTTAAGAGGGCTTCGACAAGGAAGTTTTCTTTCTACTTATCTGTTTGTCATAGCGATCAATGTCTTGTCTCACATGTTGGATAAAGCTGCACGTCAAGGGAAAATTAAATTCCATCATTCCTGCAGCGAGGTCTGCCTTATGCACCTAAGTTTTACTGATGCTATGTTGGTATTCTTGGATGGATCGCCGGAATCTCTCATTGCTACTATCAGTGTGCTCTCCAAGTTCGAGAAAAAATCGAGTCTAGCAATCAATGCCTCCAAATCCTTGCTTTTCCTAGCAGCTAAAACATATCCTTCCATTACTCAAGCTGTAGTGAATCTTCATATATCTCCTGAAAGTCTCGTGAGATATCTTGGTCTTTCTCACGGCCAAAATTATGTCCCAGGTAGACTACAAACCACTCATTGACCGGATTTGATCTCACATGGTCTCATGTTCTAATAAATCGCTCTCTTTTGATGGCTGCCTTTAGTCGGTAATCGGTAGCATCACTAATTTTTGGAACTCGATTTTCCAGCTACCAAAGCGGTGTATTCAGACAATCGAAAGCTTATGCTCAGCTTTCTTATGGTCTGGCTCTCCGCATGATTCAACAAAATCTAAGGTGGTATGGGCAGAGGTCTGTAAACCAAAAAAAAGGAAGAGGATTGGGGATTGGAAGGCTGGTAGACTCCTCTCAATCATTCTTATTGAAGAGGATATGGAGATTGCTTGAAAACTCGGGTTCTCTTTGGGTTGCTTGGACAAGGCATTACTTGCTCAGGAATTCAACGTTTTGGGATGTAAAGGAAGGTACAAGAGGCTCCTGGATATGGAGGAAACTACTAAAGCTGCTTTTTTGTGGCTTTTTTTTATCCGAGTTGAGGTGAGAGATGGGACCACCACTTATTTCTGGTCAGATAATTGGACTGGTATGGGTTGCCTAATTAATGTTATGGGAGAATCTGGCACTCGAATCTTGGGATATATGTCAAACAGCAAGAGGTGGTTCGCAATCAAGAATGGGCTTTCCGTCGATGCCGAGGGGCTCAGGTGCAGGAGTTGATTCAATTCATACAATCTATAACGACCCCAAGATCTGATGCTAGACAGGATCTCATCCGCTGGAGACATGATACAGATGTCTATAAAGATCATTTCAGCTCAAAGAACACATGGGAACAAGTTCAAGAGGTTTTCCCAAAGGTTTGGTGGTTTCATCTTGTATGGTTTCCCCAAGCAAATCCCGAGAAACGCATTCATTCTTTGGCTGGCAATCACGGATAAACTATCCACAGAAGCAAGAATAAGAATATAGGGAGCAGTGCAACCTTGTGTACTTTGTGGTGAGATAAATGAAACGAGAGATCACCTATTCTTTGTGTGTCCCTTTTTTCATGATATGGCACTAGCTTTGCTCAAAGCTCCTTGGCACCTGTATCAACCCTGACTGGCAGATCACCATCCGCTCCCTGAGAAGCCATTGCCTGAGCAAAGTCGACTCGCTACTGGGCTGACTTGCACTACAAGAAACTGTCTACAATTTCTGGAAAGAAAGGAATGGAAGGCGATATGGTCGTCCCCAATACACCGCTCTCCAGCTCACCCACACAGTTGACAGGGATATCCGTGCTCTCATCACCTATCTGCACCACGAGGCATCAGAACATCACACTGATCTCCTGAATCGGTAGTGTGATCTCAGACATATTTCAAGATAACCGATGGTGTTGACAGGGACGTTTACATATCGGCTCTGGCGTTGATTGGTTCACCCGCTATCACCCGCAAACGTTGCATTTGCGGTTTGTAGCGGTTAGTGGCATTTTATAACAATCATAGAAATCGCTGTAAACCGCTTGTATTGTTTTATACCGCTGAAATTCAAAAGCTGCTTCCTGCCAGCGTTTGCGGTTGCGGGCGGTAGCGGTTAGGTAAAAAACAAAATGTACGTTAAAAAATGGAAAATCACGTAAAAACAATTAGTTACAAAATTAGTTTGTTATAATTCTTTTTTTTTGTTCTTCGAAAAGTTACATAGTTAAACGAGATGACATATGTATTATTTCAACGGATCATTGTGAAAAAATAAACTGAAGATAAAGAACCTGAATTTTTGAGTGTACTCCACAAAGAACATATTCTGAAGAATATTACTGAGCAATTTGAAGTTGATTTGAGTTGGATTCATGCAAAAAAACGATTATATCAACTGAAAAATTTTTACACTATGCATAAGACAAATCCAGAATATCCATATATTGGAGCAAATTTTTTTTCCAGTTTATTACATTACTAGATATAATTGTAGGTGATGTTTCCAACAATTGAAATAAAATATATTATTATAAAATTTATTAATTTTTTAAATAATTATTTAGTATTTATTTATAATTTTTATTATTAATTATTTTGAATTAGTGATTTTGATATATAACATAATAATATAATTTTTATGTTTTTTATAATTAAATATGATATTATTTTGGTAATTTTAAGTGTAACCGTTCAAACATCTGCTGGTTTGCGAGTCAAAAATGTCCCGCAAACGAATCTGCCCTAAAAAATTTAACCAATTATACAAACCACATAATATCACTCAAAACCGTAATCGGCCGCTTTCGCAAACTCCCGCACTCGTAACCGTAATCGCTGCGTTTAAACAAATAAAACCCTCCGTTGCTTGATGCTAAAGTTGTAATAATTCAGTTTTAAATTCTCTTGCTGCATTTGCCTAAAACAGTTCGGTTTGGCACTTCATCATGCCAAATTTTGTATTTTTTTTTGTTGATAAATAAATTTAACATTTCAACCCAAAAAAGCTAATTATATTACAGTCAAAGTGTTTAACACATTATTTTTCTGTAAAAAGAAAAGTTATTTTAGTGGAGAAATCAAGCTCTATTGCTTCCCTTATACGGTGGGATTCTGTGAAATCTTTGAGATGTGACATTAAATGGAGAAAAGCAGGCTTTGGAGCATAATGAGAATGTTTTAATTCCCAATCAAGATTTTCATCGTTCGATTACATTTTTTTTTGGATTTTGATTGTTTTGATCTTTCGACCACTTTTTATCGAAATCCATCAAAAAACACAAAATCTAATAATGAGAGAAATGCCCCACGCCATATTAAATTCAATCAATGCTCATATATTCATCTTCTTTTAGCTAGTATAGTTGCAATTCGTAATTTGTATTGAACGTTAAGCTCGACTTTATAGATATTTTATAAAAAAAACAAAGAATTTATACAGACTACTCAACTAAATATTGACTAAACATATTGTTTTCAAATCCATGTATAGGTTAGATATTCCAAAACTTACTGAGATCTTAAAATTTTATTTTCACTATAAGATTTTTAAATAACTTCAAAGAACAAAGAAACACACATGAGACTACTCATATTTTTCTTTTGACGATAGTTTTTCACATTGCATAGGGTTAGGGATATTAACGGATTTTATCATCAGTATATATATGAATGAGAAAATGAGTCATCAAACCATTTTTGAAGTGAAGAAGAATGATGGATATATCTAGTAGTACGGTAGAGAATCTGGGGATGCATGAATCATGACCATGGATCATAATAAAGAACAAAAAGTACTTTATAACAGAAAGAGTCACAATTATTTAATTTTCTATAAATGGGAAACCATTAAAAGGCAATATAAACCATGCCCTACAAAGATTTTAAAGCACACCATGCTGTATATGCTTGCCTCATCAATATATATGTATATAACAAATCTTATATCTATGTGTATTCATGGATATAAAATAAGACGAAAACGTGTGAATTTGAGTGTTATAGGGTACATACAATATATGGAATAGGAGTGTGTGTATATTATAAACTTGTACCAACCCATCAAAGTGTGTGAAATGCCTAACAAGCCAAAAGATGCGACAGTCTGACGTTGATGGTGGAGTCTTTCACTTTCCCTTTGGATTCATGAGTGGATAAGCCATCAAAAAATGTTTACATATTCGTATACAATATTAGCAGAAACTAGCAGCATATATACATGTTGAACGATTAGAATCAAATATAGACCAAAATATTTTAAACAGAAATTAGTTTCTTAAGATAGGTTACTATAATATTTTATTCGAATTGAAAACGAATTTAAAAGTTTGTATACTTATGAAGTTTGAATGTTGATATATAATTTCTTTAGTTTGTTTGATTTTTACCAGTTGATACACACAACATACTGGTGTATATCTTAACTTAAAGAAGTATTCACATCGTATCACATTTCAAGATTCTTTGACGTCATTTGCCTAAGAAAATATTTTTGAAGGTGTGATTTTGGATTTTAGAATGTAATACAAGCTCATCAAATTAAATAGCTAATGATTGGATGATCCTTTTTAAGCGTAAAGCAAACAAAAAGATAGTTACAAAAGTTGGAAATCTAAGTGATGCGCGCGTGATGACGGCTTATGGCTATTAATGACATGTAGACGTCATTCAAATTATCAGTTTTTCTTTATAAGAGAAAATAAAAGGTTTTACTTCTATTTATTTTCATAATTTCATGATAAGTATAAATAAGTTGTAACGACTAACCAGAGGGAGGTACAGTTGATGAAATGGAGGCGAGTTATTTTTCCTCTCTCTCCCTTTCTACATCTTCTAATCCAGTTAAAGATTCGTCTCACAAACGCAAACTTACTCTGACGCAACAAACTTTCCCGGCGGCTACCCCTAACACCACCGTCTCTAGCTATGGCGAGTCTCTGCCTCTCAATCTCTCATTCGTTCTGCCTCACAAATCTCAGGTTATTACTTTTAGTTCTTGTTATTCTCTGTTTTTAGCATAACTCGTAACAATAGGAAATTACAGAAAATGGTGGCGAGTTCTTCTGCGAGGAAGCTAAAGTCGATGACAACTGAAGCGAGTTCCCTTTCTTCATCTTCTAATCCAGTGAAAGATTTGTCTAAACAACGCCTACTTACTCGGACGCAGCAAACTCTCCCGATGGCTACGGCTAACGCCACCGTCTATGACAATGCCGAGTCTCCTGATAATTATCTGACTATGCCTAATTACGCAACCATTTCCGGCACAGCCATGTCTCCCACTCTTGATCTCTTGTTGGTTCCACTTCCACCTCTAAACTTACCTCTAACAACCACTCCGGAATTAATCAACTTGATTGAATCCGTCCTTAAACAAGACCATCCACGTCCTCATCAACAAAAATTGCCAGATTTCACAGAGAACAGAAATACAACTATTCTTGAAACCCCTAAGAATCTGGAAAAAACAAAGGCTATGAATTTCCCAATCTCCAAGATCACAATTGGCCAATGGACCAGCACGGCGGTGTACTCGGATGATCTTAAGGCAAAATTCTATTTTGCAAAGAAGAAGCTTATGTGGGAGATTCTTGACAATCTAGAAACAGGAACACAAATGGCGAGGCTGAAGAGAAAGATCGAGATCCAATGGGCTGATGTCTTATCTTTTAAAGGAACTTTTCATCCACATGATAAAACCGGAACCCTCCAAATCGAGGTAGTATACATACTTTATATAGTTATATATTCATATGTTTTACACCTTTTGTTGCTAATATTGAGCCTAACTATTGTGAGATGTTATGTGCAGTTGGGCAAACGTCCAATGTTCTTCAAGGAGATTAATCCACAGGCAGGAAAACACACTCAATGGAAACAGATGGATCGAGATTTCACTGTAGATCAGTCTGCTTCTAAATGCAGGTTCCATTCTCTATCCTTGATCCTCCTTTTTGGTTTTAGTACCATTTACAGTGATTCAAAGCCTCACATTTATATATAACAGGAGACATACACTTCACTTTTCTCCTGGAGTTCTGCAAAAGAACTTGGATAACCTTGTGTCCAGCGATAGCTTTTGGTCGAAACTTGTCAAAGTCACTTTCCCAACTCTACCACATTCTCTTTACTTCGACATTGGCTATGGAAACAACAACAAAAAGAATAGCTACAACTCGTCTCGCTACGGCCGATGCCAGACACTTAGCTTCAACGTCCACAAAGACATTCATCATCACCATCCTCAAGGTATTTAACTTGAACCTTACGCAAATCATTTTATATGTTAGTATGTATCTGAAAGAACCCATTATTTTGATAGGATTTGGTTATTTGCCAGTGCGAGAAGTAAACTTTAACGTGGCAACTCAGTTCTGCGCTAATGATAAGAAGCATATAAACTCATTTGTTCAAGACAACCGTAAAAAAAAAACTATGATTCAGTTACCTGAGATGCAAGTTATCCAACCATCCTCTCAGATAATCAACAGGGGAAGGTATTTTGACGAGTCGCAGTTTAATAGTCAAATAACCCAAAATGAGCGCCAAATGAGAAATACATGGGAGTTACGCGAAAGTCAAGCATTACTTGAGACACAATGTAACTCGATGATATTTGAACACATGAACGAAATATCAATATATCAGGTTGGACCGTATCTACAAGGCTACATAGCTCAAGAAGGAGAGACACAGAACATGGAATATACACATTTCGATGGTAACTTTCAGTCCAGCGGCATATGTTCTTATGATCAATACTTCAACAATGGTTCAGTGCCTCGGGATTTGTAAATATAACGTTTTAGGTTCTTCTTTCGTTGCTTCATGTTCCCTACCATTTCTTTCTCTTTGGATCTTCTTTGTTTTTTTTTTTTCTTTTTCTTTTCCAAACCTCCTGGGGTCTTGTCATGCAGAAAGTGTATATTCATAACTCTGTTTGTTATAAATGGAAACCCTAATTCTGTTAGAGTCTTAATTAGTTTAAAAGATTGAAAATTATATTTTTTTCTAGTCAAATTAACCTAACGGGGAACCATACTGATTTTTCTTATTCAAGCACATATTCTATTTATAGTCGGATGATTTGGTCATTCTTTCCACCGAATACCTTATCTGCGGGTCTGCAGTTGCTTCTTGAAGCGACATCGAATCACCAAGGTTCTGGAATTAATTCGAGTAAAAGAGCAGTATGCGCAGCAATGGACGATGCCACCTGCTTTCTTACAATGGAATCTCAACCTTTCAAAATAGATTTCATCTAAGACTATTCTCTGACCAAAATAATAATTCTTTGAATTTTTGGTAGAATAACATCTACATATGGCTTGTGGGGACATTCCTGTTCTGGTTTGTTCTGGCTATATCTACTTTGATAATATTATTCCCAACGAATCCGGTGTAAGAAAACCCATCTTCTACTTTCTAAAGCCTAGTTATTGGACTGGCAAAGAGGGCAACAAAGTGGAAAGTATGTTCTCTTGCACTTGTAAAAATTCAGTGGGCTGAGAACATGTAAGCCAAACATGTTCCTATTCTTTGCAGAAGGGAGCATTTGTAGCTGTATTGGTTCAGTTCCTCCGATAGAACATATTACGCCAGAGGACAAAGATGTGCTCGAAGGGGAGACCGTAGTTAAACAGCAATCAATGGATGGAATTGTTGATCCTGACATTGCAGTTCAGATACATGGTCTTGCAAAGACATATCCCGGAGCCACAAAGCTCGGATGCTGCAAATGCAAGAAAACTTCCCCTTTTCAAGCTGTAAAGGTATTTTATTTCTTGATAACAAAACAATGAAAAAAAAGAAGAAGAAGTGATATCTTGTAATGTATGCTCTTTCCCAAAGTTATTCCTCAGCTAAATCACGGAATATATTCATGGTTTGTGGATGAATATTGCCAAAGATCAAATGTTTTGTCTTCTCGGACCAAATGGTGCAGGGAAAACAACTACTATCAGTTGTTTGACTTGGATAAATCCAGTTACTGGTGGTGATGGTAAGAAAGCTTGCTCACCTTTGTTTTCTTAAGATTTTAACCATTCTAACTGGATGTAATTTTCTGATATAACAGCAATAATTTATGGAAATTCCATAAGAAGCTCTGTTGGTATGTCCAACATTCGTAAAATGATAGGAGTTTGTCCTCAGGTTTGTTAAATTTGTTCTTCCATTGTCTTCTTACACAATGATTTATTTGCTCTGCTTAAATGGTTTATTTCATCATTGTTGTAAAATACAACTTCGGAAAGTCGTTCGTATATATATAAAGTATATGTAAGTACTAGAGAAAAAAGACTTCGAGAGAGAAAGAGTTAGCGAGTGATGAACAATACCAAAGATCTCTTTTTATTTCTCACACTAGATTATATTACATTTATAAAGCCAAGCTCACCTATATATTGTGGAGAAGCTTGGAGACAAAGTTTTAGAAACTTGGAGACAAAGCTTTAGAAACTTGGTGACAAAGTGATTCAAGGGGGATGAATCTCTAGGGAGGATGGATACTTAATAGATAAGAATCTTGAGGAGAGAGCTATTCTCAAATGTATAATCAATATATTTATAACACTCCCTCTTGATTATCCATTTCTATTGATACAGTGCATACTGTCTTGTTAAAAACCTTATCATGAAAAACCCTGTTCTAGGAAAAAAACCATGACAAGAAAAAAGAGTGCAGTAAAACTCCCCTTAGAAAAGACATATTCTTCTCTTCACAAGTCTCGTAGATGGCGCAGTGCTGTAAATATATTTTCTGAATACTGTAGTAGGAAGTGCCTTTGTGAAGAGATCTGCTGCATTGTTGCTTGAACATCGATCTTCCCGTTTTTCTCGAGTTCTTGAGTATATGAAAGAAATCTTGGAGGAATATGTTTTGTCATGTCACTCTTGATATAACCTTCTTTAATTTGGGCGACACAGGCAGCATTGTCTTCAAATATTTTTGTGGGCTCTTCATCTTTGATTATTCCGCTTGATTCTTGGATGTGTTGAGCCATTGATCTAAGCCACACACGGTCTCTGCATGCTTCGTGAAGCGCAATAATCTCTGCATAATTTGAAAAAATGGCGACCAAAGTCTGTTTTTGAGAACACCACGAGATCGCCGTTCCACCAAATGTGAAAACATATCCTGTTTGCGATTGCGCTTTATGCGGATCTGACAAGTATCCTGCATCTGCAAAACAAGCTAGACCAACCTCGGTGTTTCTTGAATAAAATAGGCCTAAGTCAATTGTACCTTGTAGGTAACGGAAGATGTGCTTTATTCCATTTCAATGTCTGCGCGTAGGGCATGCACTGTATCTTGCAAGTAAGTTGGTAGCAAAAGCTATATCTGGTCAAGTACAAATTGCAAGGTACATTAATCCGCCAATAGCACTCATATAATACTTCAGGACCTAATATTTTTTCGTTATCTTCACAAGGTCGAAATGGATCCTTGTCAATATCAAGCGATCTATTGACCATTGGAGTACTTAGCTCAAAAGAGTCGCTTTATCTATATTAAAGCGTTTTAACATCATTTTGGTGTAATTTGATTGATGCACAAATATTCCGTCTTGCAAATGCTTTTACTGGAGCCCTAGACAAAGTTTTGTCTTTCCAAGATCTTTCATTTTGAACTCTTCTTTCATATGAGTTGGTGCATCATCAATCTCCTTTTGAATTCCAATTATGTTCAAGTCATCAACATATAAAGCAATGATCACAAATCCTGATGCGGATTTCTTAATAAATACACAAGGGCATATCGCTTTGTTGATGTATTCTTTACTCAACAAGTATTCACCTAAGCGATTATACCACATGCGTCCAGACTGTTATAGTACGTAAAATGATCGCTGTAATTTGACTGAACATATTTCCCTAGATGCTTCCGGCATCTATGATCCTTCTGGCATCTTTGATCCTTCTGGGATCTTTAACCCTTCTGGGATTTTCATGTATATGTCATTATCAAGTGAACCATATCGGTATGCAGTTAGCACATCCATCAGGTACATCTCAAAACTTTTAGATGCCGTTAGGCTCATTAAGTACCTGAATATGACTACATCCATAACCGGAGAATATGTCTTTTCATAATCAATTCCCAGTATTTGACAAAAGCCTTGTGCAATAGTCGGACCTTATACCTTGTGACCTCGTTTTTCTCATTTCTATTTCTCACAAAGACCCATTTACACCCAACTAGCATTACATCTTCAGGTGTAATGACTACTGGTCAAAATATATTTCTTTTATTCAGGAAGGATAATTCATTTCTCATGGCCTCTTGCTATTTCTTCTAGTCAGGCCTATTCTAGCACTCTGACATGGAGCTTGGGTCTGGATCATCTTCATGATCTATTTCTCTGGATACCGATAAATGGAACAATTTTATTTGTATCATCTATCTCGCTTCTAGCCCATAATGTCCTAGTTTGGGTGAAGCTAATGGAAATCTCATATTTTTCAGTATCGGGTTCATCTTCTGGACAAACCTCTTTATCTGGTTCTTTCGGAATTTTTTCACAAATGTTTTCTGGACATTTTTTTTATTTGGTTCTTCTGGAACCTTTTCTTTCGAGGATTTCTATCCTTCGAGCTCATCTGCCTCCCACGCTTTAATTGAACCTGCGGTTCATTTGCTCTATTTCCATCAATACATTGTTCCGGATCATTTATTTTTGATGGAGCAATAACAGCAGGGAAATAAGACTTCGTCACCCTTCTCGTATCTGTGAATGCATCATGTAACTTTTTTGCTAAACTTTGTAAATGTATTATTTTCTGAATTTCCACCTCGCGCTGATTGGTAAGAGGATCAAGAGAAGCCAAAATTTATGTACACCATTTGATATCTTTTGATGATTCTCTGGATCCTCCCCCCAACGTGAGAAGTTCACTTTTATCAATGTGGCAATCAGCAAAACGCGCCGTAAACATATCTCCAGTAACCGGTTCAAGATATCTAATTATAATTAGGGATGTATAGCTGATATATATATATATAAATTTCCAATCTCCTGTGTGGCCCCTTTTTTGTTTTTTGTGGCGGAGCTATCGGGACATAAATCGCAAATCCAAAAATATGGAGATGGGACACATTTGGCTCCTTGCCAGATGTTAACTGTATTGGAGAATATTCATTATATGCACTTGTCCTCACCTGGACCAATGACCCAACATGCAATATAGCATGTCCCCATACAGTAATTGGGAGCTTTGTTCTCAATATTAACGGTCTTGCAATTATCTGTAACTGTTTAATCAAAGACTAAGCTATGCCATTTTGTGTACGAACATGTGGAACCGGATGCTCAACATCGATTCCCAGTGACATACAATAGTCATTAAAGGCTGCTAAAGTGAATTCACCAGCGTTGTCTAGCCTGACTTTCTTTATGGCATAATCAGGGAATTACGATCTCTCCCTGATTATTTGGGCAATGAATCTTGCGAAAGCCATATTTCTAGTGGTCAATAGACACACATGTGATCATCTACTGGATGCGTAAATTAATACCATGAAATATCTGAATGGCCCGCATGGTGGATGAATCGGCCCACATATATCACCATATATTCTCTCTAAGAATACATGAGATTCATTCCAAACTTTGGCTGGCGAGAGCCTAATTATGAATTTTTCTTGAGAACATGCTTTACATAAAATTCTCCCGATTGAAACATCTTCTGGTTTTTCAATGGTTGGCCACTCGAATTTTTCACTATCTTTCTCATCATGACTGATCCCGGATGGCCAAATCTTTCATGCCATACTCTAATTGCACTAGTAAACT